GCAAGTAGATATCCACACAAGTGGACCTTGTTGGAGCATACGTAATCCTAAAATGTAGCATCGTGCTACAGATGGCGTTTACTGCGCCATTTGTATTATTTTCTAAAACGCACTGTTAAGACAGCAGGTAAAAGTCGGTCTGTGTTCTGTTGGAGTTGCCTACGACGCGCTGATGAGATCCACAAAGATCGAGATCGCGATACGCGTCTGGCAGTTTCGACATTTTATAAATTTATTATTAATGCTATGACTAAATTATTATTGTTTAATTAATATGCAGAAACAAAATTAATCCTGATTCTTTGGCCGGATCGGGTATGGATCCTTGAAACGGATCCGGCATGGATCTTTGGAAAGGATCATGTACTATACCAGGCTTGATTGACGTTTTTTTTTTATACTAAGTCAAATATTGATTAGGAATTATACTTGTATCAAATGTAAGCGCCGCACAGCATTATGATTATCGTAATTTATCTATCGGTTGTCACAATTAGATACTTATCTTGGAAGTGTTATCTTAGAATATAAAAGAATAATGAAATTGCTATAAATTGGTTGCGTCCCCGAGAATCGTCTTGTGCTTGTGCGTGATTCGATCACAGTCAGGTTTTATTATATTAATTCATATAAGTATAAAAATTCGTATCTTTTCTCATTAATTCAGTTCCCATAAATCATGGCAATAGCCACCAAAAATGAACCTGTTAACGAAAATGGGATTAATCAAGAAACCTGTACGAGTAAGTCATTTAATTCTTTTTTTGTTTTTACTTTTGAAATATTTACAAACACAGCTACTAGTGGAATCGTCAATAAAAAAACATTGTAAATGAAAATAATATTTTTAAGACGCGATTAAAATAAGCAGTTAACATAGGAACTACTTTAGAGTTCAATTCTACAGCACGCTTTTAGAATTTTATATTATACAAAAGGATAAATAAGTAACATTACCTAGAAATATCGATCATTTAAATTTTTCTGTTACAATTTAATTTAAAATATAAAATTAATAATCAGTAAATTTTAATTCCAGATACTGTATTGTTATTTTGCATTAAATTTTTATATGGTATAGTCAATTTTTTCATACTAATTTTTCAGACTTCAGTCGTCAACATTTCGTCAATTTTATAGTTCAATTTAGTTCTCATATTGCTATATGTAGATGCTATATGCTATATGTAGATAAGGGCAGATATTTCTTACATAATCGTGAAACAAAGAAAAAAAATCGTGTAGAAACAAAACTGGTAATACAAACATAACAATCATGCAATTCTCAGTTATTTACGTAAGTCGAGGTAGCGTAATCCGAGTTAGTATTGTTTATCAAAACCCAAAGATTAAATACCGTTTTCTTTTCCTTTTTTCAGGTAGATGTTTTGGTTGGGTCGGAGCACGGCACTTCACAGTTTTTATGTTATTTTTGGGAATGGCAAATGCTTACATTATGAGAACAAATATGTCGGTAGCAATTGTTGCTATGGTCAACACGTCATCATCGTCTACCGAATATTCAAACGAATGCCCTTCTCTGGCAAACAGTACAGATGAGGTTCTAATTTTTTTATTTTAAATTATACATAAATATTATATTTTATTCCAAGCGCCCTTAGTAC